TTAAAATGGCTTTCCATTTAACCAAAATCCGGTGTCGCATTATAGCCAAAGGTACAATCCTGGTGGATGAATGTGCTTTCTTCATCTTTGTAGAAACCGAAACCAAGTTGCCATGACTACACTTCTCGACTTATGTACTTCCAGCAGAAGTTGCTTCTTCTTCATCTGCTTTAGAAGATGAAGTAGCCAAAGTCATGGCAAGTTGCTGTCGGCTTATACCTTCGGCTACATTGTGGCATAGGATTCTGATTAAGGTAAGCCATTTAAAGACAAAAAGAAAAACTTGAACAGATGATCTGTTGGAAGCATAGCACGCTGCGCTCACATTATTTTCTAAACACTGCCCAAAATCAGAAGCTGGGTATTTAGTTTGGGCTCGATATTTATTTTCACTAATTTTTGCATTTTAAAAATTTAATTTATTACATGTAACAAATGTTCTGAACGGTGGGAACCATATAGAGGTTCTCCACCACAACCAAATAAAATTAAGTAAAATAAAGTCAACCTCGACTTTGTGGAAATTCACCAATTTGGAATTTATCGCCCACAAAAAGTGAGGGAACACCCAACACTATGATATAATTTCATATATATATATATATATATATATATATATACACACACACACACACACACACACACACAGAATATTTGATTTGGAAAAAATGCACTGGGAAGGCTCATATTCCATGCACATGCAGCGAAAACACTCTAACTTCCACTGACAACAAAGAATAACCACAGCTCCTCACTGAAATGAAAAAAAAATCTTTACCTCTCAGTTGAGATGCCCGTCAACATACTTCCTTGCAACCAATGACTACTTTCCCAATGAGCCAGGGTGTTGGTACCATCTTGTGGTAACATTATAGTAACAGCAAGAAAACTCCCCAGCTCGCTGACTTTTTCAGCAACCAGCTGAGGACAGGTTACTCCCCTCCAAAAAAATGAAAATGACAACTGATTGTTGCAGAGATGAAAGTCTGCTTGCTGCCTATAGTCGAGGTGCTCTTGAGCAAAGCCCGTTTCCGGTCAGTGTATGTTTTTAAGTCATTGTTTCTGCATGTTACAGTCAGTGGTCACATAACCTTTGTCATGTCATGAAATGAGTATGACATGACATGACAAAGTATTTTACCCCACTGTTAATTAAGTACTCTGCATAAAATTGCTCGCACAGTACACTAACTTGGTAACATTATCACAGTGCTAATTGCCATGCATGTCTTTTTTGTCTTCAACTACAGTGTAGGTCAGGGGCCCCCAACATTTTTTGCCCCACGGACCGGTTGATGTCAGACAATATTTTCAGGGACCGGCATTTAAGGTGTGGTGGAAATAATACAACAAAATGATATGGTATGAGGTGCATGAAAACTGTGGTGTTTTCGAAATATAATAATAAACACAAGGAGCATCTAATCTGGCCGCAACACTCCGATCGCTATGGCAATGTTTAATGCCTTCAAAATACGATACAACGCAAATTCAAAGTGCATGAAAATGACGACTCACCACAGCACCGCGCTTGATTTTCTGCAACCAGACGGTCCCATCTCGGGGTAATAGAAGACAATGACACCTCAAGTGTGTGGTTTATGTCCAGTCTACTTCGTAATTTTGTTTTAGTCGCCGTTGCTGCAGAAACCCCCCGCTTAACACAGGTAGGATGTCGGAAATAGCAACAGTGCTATTGTGGCGATCTCAGAGTATTCAGCCATAACTTTATCCAGTTGTCTCGAACGTACTTTTAAGGCCGCCGTCATTTGCGATCTCCAGCAGTTTTTTTTTTACTCATTTTGCGAGCTCCTGCGTTTTGTTTTGAAGTAATCGGTCACGTGATGGAGAAGCGTGGCTTGACGTGTGTCAAGCGTGACACAGACGGATGTAACGGAGAATCCGGTAGTCTTTCAAAATAAAACATGATTCGTATTCCGAAATAAATAAAATGGAATTAAGGCAAATTCTTTCTGTGCGGCCCGGTACCAAATGCCCGGCGGACCGGTACCGGTCCGCGGACCGGCGGTTGGGCACCCCTGGTGTAGGTGTTATGTGGAAGGTGAACCACTGCTAATCATCAGATCAAAGCTGTGCAGTCGTTCTTCTGCAATATCTGGAAACGTAAGATATGAATAATTCAAAGGGTAAGGGTTCCGATGAACATCACTGAAGCACCGAATCTGTCTCCATCCCAATGTGACGGAATGCAAGGGTGGACTAAATGGCAAGCAACAAACTTTCAATCAGCTCTGCATGAGCTATTTGATCTCCTGCTGGCAAACAAACACAAACACACTACTCATCAAAGAGAAATTAACCCACTGTCCACAAATCAACAGCATATCAACACCAATTAATGATTCTAAGGTGGATTGGTTGTGTAGTTACCATTCAAATGTATAACTTATTTGATGTTGATGGTGACAGAAGAAATATCAATACATTTCAATGTCATCTCCTGTCACACTCTTTTTCAGTCAGTTATATACCCGCATTCACGCATGTTTTTCTACATGCTGTGATTAATCAATCAGGTAAACCTGAGGGTGTAAAAACGGAGTGTATGAAAGATTAACAACAGAGATATAGAGTGTCTCAGAACATGGCGTGAGCTAAAGCCTATAAATAAACATGGCAGTATCATCCTGACGACAGCAAAGTGCCCTGACACTGACATGCTGGTATCTACTGAAAAGGAAGGGGAGGGGGATCCTCATGACTTCAAATGACCTTGTTATCCTTGTTCACATCAGACTAAGAATACCCTCCTTGTTAGCTTTTCCCTGGTCAGGTTTCATCTGGGGTGATACGAAAGGCAAGAGTATTTCCTCTGCTCAATAAAAAGGCGTCAGTGCAAGATGAATGTGAAGAAAACAAAACAAACAAAAAAAAAACCCAGAGGAAGAAAAGCGTCAGAAAATCTGGTACAACGAACTTTCAACTACTAAAGCAGGGGTATCAAACTCATTTTTGTCGTGGGCCTCTTTGGAATTAAGCCTTCTCTCTGTGGGCCATTATGGCAATGAAACCAAATAAACGTTTAAAATTCTCATCGCATTACTACTTGTACACAACAGATTGATGGATTACCAGTTTTGAAATCGCTCAATTCTAATACGTAGTTTGATTATTGTTCAAGTGAGTGTATACAGGGTAAGAAACTACTGCAAAATCTCAACGTTATTTATTACACATGACAATTTCATATTTCGGTACAGATACAGATGTTAGCAAGGATCATGCAAGTTGATTGCTTTATCCTCACAACAGCCCATCCCAGCCGTCTACCGGACTGTAGGCAGGGGCCACCCTGGGCTGGTTGTCAGCCAATCACAGGGCACTCAGACAAACAATCATTCTCATTCACAATCACACCTAGGGACAATGTAGAGCAGGGGTGCCCAAACTTTTTTGACCGAAGATCGACTTCTCGATCAACCAACCTGCCGCGATCGACCCGTTACCGCACACGCGCGCATACGCACGCACGCACGTACTCACGCATGCCATGATGAGCAACAGCCTGATGCTGAGGCATGCGACGCACTTAGGCAGCCTGTTAACAATCGTAGCTCACGCGTACCGTTTTAAAATGCTTCTCTCGGTCCTCCAGATTCCCATTCTTCGCCCGTCCCCTCGGTGAATTGTACAAAACAAACTCTGAATGAGGATAATGATAACAATAAAAGATATAGCGCAACACCTCTGATCACAAGCTGCAACTGCAGACTGCTGAGCGCTAGCAGCTTTCGGTGACGCAGTCACACGTCACCGGAGGTTAAATATGACCTGATTTATTTTATTTTATTTTTTAAATACTTTTTGTGAAAGTGAGACTGATTGAATGCTTTTGGAATGTGGGAGGAAACTGGAGTAACCAGGCACAGGGAGAACATGCAAACTGTATTGCAGTAATTAAAAAACAAACAAAAAAACTCCAAATTGGTTGAAATTCAGAGTTGGAAAAGGTGTGAAATTTGTATATTATTTCAGATAAACATTTATTATATTCATGTTGCACCATATCTAAGGGTAGTAATCTTGTATTAAAAATCCTCGTCTCACCCCTCGGGTGGTGTCCGTCCCCCATTCAGCTCGGGTCCTCTACCAGAGGCCAGGAAGCTTGAGGGTTCTGCGCAGTATCCTTGCTGTTCCCAGCACTGCACATTTCTGGACTGAGATGTCCGATGTTGTTCCCGGGATCTGTTGCAACCACTCATCTAGTTTGGGGGGTCACTGCCCCAAGTGCTCCGACCACCACAGGCACGACTGCCACCTTTACCTTCCAGGTTCTCTCCAGCTCCTCTTTGAGCCCTTGGTATTTCTCGAGTTTCTCGTGCAATATATCTATCTATCTATCTATCTATCTATCTATCTATCTATCTATCTATCTATCTATCTATCTATATAGCATTAAAATGCCCTAAGTGAACTTAGAAATTGCCCCATGGAGATAAATAAAGTTTTCTGTATCTGAATAAAGACAGGTCGCACACATTTAAATAAATATTTCATCCTTAAAACTATTTTACATACCAAATAAAATATATCTTTTATATGTATAAAAACAAGACATACAAGGGTGACAAAGAAAGTTTGAAGTGAGTCATGAGTATGTCTGGGGTTTCTTTACACCTTTACATCTTTTGACCGTAACAACTCTATAGTCAGTACACAGAAATACCTGCGATAATCCACCAGATTCTACAAAAGGTTTGAATTGTGTCATCAAAACATATTCCCCTCATGATAGGTAGTCTGGAAAGAAGACGATCTGCCACTGCTACCACATGAACATTGTCATTAGTTAATGAATTCCTCTGTTGAAAAATGAGATTCTGGCGATGATCAATCTGTTTAAATTTCCTTGAAGCAGCAGGCAAGAGGAGACAAAAGACCTTAATAGTAAAACAGTCATAAAAAAATAAAAAATATCACTCCACTACCAATAAGTCAAGGAATTCTGCGCATCTAAAAGAAAAAAAAATCCTGTTTCCTTTTTTTTTTTTTTTTAATTTTACAGTCCGGATTTAGAAATCTGATGTAGAAAAATAGAGTTCTTATTTTTGTCTATTTACAGTCTTCCTCTCCGAAAAAATAATTCAGCACCGACACATTGAGAATATTGCTCAGTTAAGAGACGCAGAAGAGAGCGCTGAATCTACGGCTGATGAAACTACCAGTCTGTTTGTTTCTCTTCTGCCTCACCACCTTTTTCCAACTTCTGTTCCTCAGCGCTCAGATGAGAACTGCGTACGTTTAGTCCTTTGGTTGAAGGGGTAGTGAATGAAGTCAAATGGTCGGTGGTGGCTGGGATGTGCAGGCTGCTGACCCCTTGGCAGTCTCTTCATAAAATGGACCTCACGCTGGTGCTGCCGTGTCCGCGAGCCTTTTCGTGGACGTCCTCGACGGGTGAAGGCCATATACCATCCCTCATACCGGGCATTCCTCAGGGCGGTGTAGTTGTTCTCCAACACAATCTCAGTGAAGATACAATCACGGCCTTGTCCATTTTTCTGCAAAACCCACAATCAGAGTAAAAACAAAATATTAACTGCTTGTCACTTGCACGCACACTCTGTGACGCATGCTAACTCACAGCCATCTTGCCCTCCTGTACAGCATATGTTACATACATTACAAATTGGGGTGGTTGGAAACTGACTTGTTCAGCTCCCAACTGATAAATCACAGTACGGACAAAGGTTGGGTGCATTTTCATTCTTAATTAGTTGATAAAATTAAATAGTATCACTGCTTATTCATATCATGTGACACAGCTAGCTGTGGTCGCACAGTGGCTCACTGTTCTGCTCAAAAAATAGGTCTGACGAGATCTTCTGAACAAGTACATCCAAAATGCTCTTTCTGCTGCGTCTTTTTGTTTGTTTGTTTGTTTTTTTGTTTTTTTTTTATAACGTGAATGCTCATGGGGCTGGGACATGCTGTAATTGAGCTATGGGCAGATGGTATACGAGGCAGGGTGCTAGGTGGGCGGGAAGAGACGGCAGTGTGTTTATGTGTGTGCAGGGAAGGGAGGGGATGAAAGCAGGGGCGCAGATGGGATTCTGGAACTGGGGGGACAGGGACCAAGCTTCGAAAATGCAATTTATTATTACAATTACGAAGTTGACTTTCAGTGCCATGTACTTGAAATTGGAAATTGATTCAATCAGTGGTACTTGCTCGTTTTTTTTTTTTTTTATACGGTCTACTGTGCCATATTGTATTGTTTTGTACGGTATTTATATTAATAATTCCTTTTTAGAAGGGTCGGGTGTAAGGTATATATATATATATATATATATATATACATATCATGCACTATATAAAACATAATATTTTCATACGTTTTAGTATATAATCTATTGTATTTAACCATTTCAGGGACAGCGGTTACTACAGTGGACAGCTTATCATGTTATCGGGTAACAGGGTGCATCAAAGGGTTAATAATATTGGATACATGTGGGTCTCATGCACTTAACTTCTGCCCTTTTTTCAGCTTACTTTTTCCATTTAAATTAATATTTTTGACCCAAAAAACATTTTCAGCAAGCTATGATTTTTTTTTGTGGTGTCCTCAGGCCCAAGGACCATTGTGCGACTCACGCTTCAAGATGATTGCCACTGTGCACTCTACTCTAATTCTTTCTCCAAGTCCAGGCTCCATCTAGTGTTACCTACGCGTATGCTGCTCAACAAGCCACATCGTCTACATCTATTTTCATGCCGGCTACTATGTCTACGGTCATGGCAACAGTGAGTTAAGGTATGATTGCGAGCAAGCGAGTGGGTAGCACGAAGCACATGGGAAAAAAAATAACTAAAGAAAGAATCCACTTTGACATGTTTTTGTGCACACAGAGCACGTTCATGTGCACTCAAAACATGAGCTTAGTGGGAATTGGATGCAGGAATTGCCATCATGCCGAGCAGCTCTATGCAAATCGTAAGAAGTAAGAATTTGTTTTTTGTTGGTAATGTAAGATGTTAATTATTCCCTGATAGAAGTAGCAGATGTGTTCATCCACCTATTTTGGGGGTATATTCTCCCGGGTGCTTAAGTCAGTAAAGGCCCACTGCTGCGCACTCTTGGGGCTGTGCATATTTTCCCATCGACTTGCGTCAGTTAAGTCCCTTCATGAAATATACGCACCCTGGGTGGAGCAAGAATTAAATGAGGGAGTCCCCTGTAAATCCAGGGGCGCCTGACCTCTCCCAGAAACTTTCCTCTTGCACGCTCAGGAGGCTCTACTGAGGACTAGTGCCTCTTAAGGGTGATACATTTTGCACGTTTTAATTCAGTGAACTGCTTCCGCGTACCCGGCTGTGTAACAGCCACATGACCAAGCGGCTCTTAACTCGCGCTGGCAGCTTGGAGGGATCTCTGGAGGTGGGAGCTCACACTTGCAGTCATTCTAACGGTAGCAATGGGGAGTTAGATTTGGAATCATTTGTCTTGATTTGACATAGGCCAGTCGTGAAATCCATAAAAGTGCCGCACTCGCATGTCCAACAGGCTCCCTTGCTTTTCAGCAATGGAACAGCTCCAAATATATATTCAGTCATGGACACATTCCCACTGATTAAATTACTTTTATTGTATTGATTAAATATAGAATTCTGAGATACACGCTCCCTCAAAGTAGCCCATGAGATGAGCCGGGCACGTCATTGGGGACGATCAGTATATAACTTCTGCATTCGATACACAACTCACTTTCACATTTCAAGTTTCTGTGTATTCCCAATGGCTCACTAGTCTCAGGAAAACTCCACTATCCAAGACTTGCAAGCATCCTTAGATTTCCATGGATCACACCTGTTCGGTGGCTGCGCGAGTATTCACCGGTTACACAGGTGGGTGTGTTGGAAACCGAGGTGGGAAAATCGTCACGCCTTAAAAGTGTGCAAGAAAGATGCGTATAGAATTGACTTAAGTGTTATGCTCCTTTTTGAATGGTTGCTCACTCACTTTTGGAGTACTTCATTCAGCAGCATGACTGAGTTTTAGTTTAAAGTCACCGGTCTACATATCTGGCCAGAGAATTTTGCTTAAAAGTTGAAGCAAAGCCATTTTTCAACAGAAATACTTTGGAGCTCAAAACTTGCTGTCCTGTAAGGCTCAAGTGTATGGCCACATATCTTAGTGGATATCCATACATTCTTATGGGGCAAAAGTTGGGGGATTTGGGGACTATTGTTCGGTCACCTTGACAATGAGGGCCAGGGGTGGTGGGGACATGCCCCCCAACCACCATACCATCTGCGCCAATGCATGAAAGGGTGAAATTATTCTTAGAATGTTACTTCCATCCATATAATCTGATTACTGTTTTTCATTGTCTCATGACCTCTCTTTCCAAATATATTGCCGTTAGATGTGTTAATTCACTGTTGGGTATTCAGATGTCTCTTATTATCTTGCACCTTCAAATTTTATGATACAATGCATTAACATAATATGTAAAAAAACAATACAATTAAAATTGGACATTTTATTATTGTCCACGAATCCCATTGATTTAGCTCACATCCCCCAGATCCAACAACAAACAATACATCTTCTCACCTTGCCAATGAGCTTTCCTCTCTTGGTCATGCAAATGTAGAGGCCAGTCTCGGCTCCCTTGATACGCACACGGCTTCCAAATGTGTCTGTCTCCACAATTAGCTTGGCTGACAGAGAATAAAAACATTGCCATTAGCAAACAGAGGTCTCTTGACACATGTAGGGAGAAATTAGTGAAGATATACAACGCTTTCAACTCTATTTTTATCCACTTCCTCTGAACTTGCATGATTGACTGATGTCAATGTATGCGTATATGGAGATCGGATCCAGAAAAGCCTTTCCAAGTATTTCTTTTTCCACTCTGTCTACACATACAACACAAAAACTTGTGGAATGATTCCCATGGATTTATGTGTCCCGAAATTCTTTCAAAATGATATAACCAGGTGTCTTTTGAGTCTTTGAAAGTTAAGGAGGCAGGCCCATCGTCCCCATCAAACATTTATTTTCAAATAAATCCGCATTGGCCTCTCACATGAAGCTTCACATTTATCTCTATAGTCCCGAAAAATACTATAATGGTAAGGAATTATGGGCTTTCCCTCGTCTGGATTGCTTTTCAGCAAGATGGAAAAAAAAGGCCGAGATTTATGAGGCTGAGTGAATTTGCAGAGAAATAGTTATGTTGGCCTGCCATTTTTAATTCTCTACACACATGTTATGCGAACAAGAATTGCATCATCGTAACTGTACAACATGTGAATAAATCCATGTTTTCTTGAAAATACTGTCGCTCTGTTCCATGATGGTTACTGGGGGAGCAACTGGAGCATGACTTGAACAGCACAGTTGAACAGAATACAAATCTATTAAGGAGATCTCCACCACCCTCCTCCACCTGCAGTTCTTTTTGCCTATCATTTCCCTAATCCAATTAATTTGTGCAGGCCACACACCACACAATTCTCCTTCCCTGCAATAAATAAATAAAGAGGGGATAGATAATTTTAATAAATTTAATAAATCATATTCATCGTTAGTAAACGAGGCTACCCCAAAACAACAAAAACGGTGGCGAAGTGCTGTGAGAGTCCACTTACGACAATTCCAATGTAGATTTTTGGGAAATTTTTGGGAAGTTGATGCATGTAAGACTTTAATGGCTCTTCCAGACTTCCAGAATCTCTGGAGAATGTCCAGCACCAGCCACAGTCAAAGTGCTTCATGTTCATATCCTCCGAAACCCATACTTGTCCAAATGGTGCAGAATATGACTGAAAATTGTCACTTTTGTCTAAAATTGTCAGTTGCTGTTTAATTATTTGTGAAATTAACAAAACATACATGTGTAGCTCAATAAATAACAGAAAGTGAATGTGTGTGAGCTACCGAAAAGCTGTATCTTGCTGGTATTTTACTTGCAGATTTCAGAGATAAATTCAAACTAACTAGATAATTAAAATGGAAAGTGCAACATTTGATTTTTTATTAGGCTAATTTTCTGTGTGTGTGTGTGTGTGTGTGTGTGTGTGTGTTTTGTTCTTTTAATAAAGAATAGAAAAACTGAATGGAACTGAAGAATATGATGCTATAGAAAAGACGGACAGCCAAGAAATGAGAAATTATGTATGATGATGATGATATTCTATTTTGCACCGATATATTCTGTGTGGATATATTAATTATGTGCCAAAAACTAAACTCAAAATGTTCATTGTGCATGTATTCTATTTCAGCAAGGCAAAGCGATGTATTACATTTTCAATCATTTCAATTGGCTATAATTAATTAAAAAAATAATAAACATTTTCAATTAGTTTCTTTGGAAATAATTCAAATCAAATTTTAATTTCTCCAACATAAATGAGGGGAGATGGGATGGGATGCCGTTACATACAGACGTGGACCTTACCGTGCAGATCTCCGTCTTCAGCCATGGCGTTGATCTTCTTGTTGGGCAGGACCTGCACATGCTTTCCACTGGTTCGACTGTACAGCTGGTAGATCCGGATCAACCTGCGGCTCACGCGGTCTGTCACTTTGCTCTGCGCGCTTACATGCTGCGTGAAATTAGGCGGGGACTGATTGGTTACCTGTCAGAAATTAGATGTCATCACAATCAGTACGTGTACAAAAGTACATGTACTTTATAAATGTAATCCGAAAGCTATAAAGCGTCAAACAAAATCCGGCGGTGTAACTTGTTAACGACCTACAGGACGGAGAACATTTTAATTATATCAAACAAAATGTACTTCTCTTTCTCTCCCTCTTTTAAACTAATTACATGAGTTTTGCTTCGTTAAAACGGCTTCAACAGATCTTCCCCCCGCAAACCACAGGCGGTTGTGTAAAACAATTTCAAACATTTTATGCCTATTATTTGATCCCTTTTAGCTATTTTTCGTCTCCACCTGTCACAGTCTGCTGTGGTGGAATGAGGGCAACATTGTTCTCAGAGGAAGCAAAACCCCACGACATTTTTCACGAGACAAGCGCGTCCCGTCGATGTGTGCCAGGGTTCGCTATGTGACCCGGCGGGCCGCCCAATCTGCCGCGGGGGCCATCAGTCTTTTCACATCATTTCCCAGTCCTAGTTGGCTGCGCTTCACAGATGGTTTATTCTAAAATTAAGTCCCCGAACGAATATTCTTAATAGGCCAAAATAAAATATACGTACAACTTACCTGAGCGTAGAAGAAGAATGCGAACATGTGTATGAACCTGTAAAGCGGGGAGGAAATGCCACAAATCAGATTTAGAAGGCGATTTGGAAAATGGATGCGAAAAAAAAACTGGAAAAAGAACAGGTCCTCACACGTAGCTGCATCTCGATGCGGGTCGCATGTTGGATGGAGGCGAAAAGCTCTTCTTAGGAAATTCAAAGATTATACTTTTCAGTAATTTCAGTCCAGCGGTTCTTGAGGGAAATCAAGCTCCAAATGATTTAATAAAAATCCAAAACTCAGATGTCGTGGTAAGGGCTCACGGACACACGGCAGACTTGTTTTTGACCACATCAATGTCAAACGGACAGTCCGCTGCTGCTCCTCTGAGCACACCATACGGTTAAAGTTGATGAATGACTTCAACTGGTCGTTTGAATTAGAATGAAGGTAAAACTCTTAAGTGTACTTGCAGAAGCTGATCTGAGCGTTGAATTGTTGAAAAGGGCACTGCGTGGTTTAGTTAATCTATTTTCATTATCTATTTTTTTTTTAAACCGGGAGTCTTAGAAATTCATCCCTAATGTCAGACTCCCCCCACCCCCTCTCCGCCTGCAATCCCCGTGGTCCTCCGGACGTCCAGGTGTGGGTGATCCTGCTCTTGCTCGGTCTCGTCACTGGTTTCGGAGAGGTTCGGGAACCCTGATCCACTCGGCTGTGGGAGAACTGCACACGGGACGCTCCTTCTCCGCACTGTCTACTTCCATCCCACACCGCTGTCAAGCGTCTCACTTGGCGCTGTACTCCTGGTTAAAATGTCAGGCTGATCTGCAAAGAACAAGCCCCCTTTTTCTGCAGAACAAAAGCGGACACCCCCACACCCTACTCGCCATCCCCTCCCACCCCCTTTGATTAAAAAAAAAAAAAATCTCTTTACCTGAGAGAAATACCCAACTTTTGAAAAAAAGAAAAGGACTGGTTGGGTGTCACGGGCTGCCGATGCCGACCCCAAGTCTGTGCGAACACCATCACAGTCTCCATCCCCATAATAAACTCTAATAAGGACACCCCCAATTTCGCATTTCGAAGCAATGCACCCTCCATCTCTTCTCCAGGTTCGGGATGCCGAAATGCTCGATTTTGTGTATTGACAGAGCAAAGTGTCAGACATTAAAAGGATTACAAACGATTGTCGTTTTTTAAGAGACTCCTCCTTTCATTTGTAAATGTATTTGGAGAGAAGAAACTAACAGCCTTATAAATAACGTGCTATGATCATACCTTTTATATGCAACGAGAAACGGGACGCGTCAAGTCTTCGATGCTTGTCGTCTGAGAGGAACTCCCCCAAATTAATTAGGATGAAGTCCTGGCACCTGAAGCAAATACTGCGAATGTATTTTGTTTCTGCATAAGACCCATCATTTATCTGTAAATTTACGCTCTTGTCGTGTAGACAAGACCATTGATTAGGCTTGATTGAATGATTTGGCAACTTAAATAGACGGGGCACTTCATCTGTATGGGCGAAACTGCCCCTCACGACCTGTTAAATAAACAGATTTTCATCATTAAATCAGCCAAATATTGGAATTGGCCTTTGCGAGCTGTTTGATGGGGGGGGGGCGTCGATCGACAGCTCAAAATACTGAGCTTGATGAAAGGAGTCAGCAATCAGAATTAAGACAGAATCAGTAGCACACAAGAGGACACAACTGTGTGATCATAGCGTTTGCATTTTTATTCATGTCCGTGATGGCAGCGACATGTCTGAAATCACGCTCTGTTGGACTCTGCGTCCCACGTTCAACTGTGTTTTTATGCAGGGTAAGGCCACCAGTGGGGGCTGGTGTGAGCAAAAGTGGAGGTGGCTGTGCCTTAGCAGCGATGACGGTGCAAGTAGTGAGTGACTTGGCATTCAATGTTTCTGTTTGTTCATCTCTCATCACTGAAGGCCTTTATGTCGTACAAATGGCTTGTTTTTCTTTTAATCCCAAATTTATTTTGGGTTTTCTAACCTGTGTGCATGCAAATGTTTTGTCAGTGCAGTAACACTCAATGAATCCTCGTCTATTTAGTTTTATTTAAAAGATACACTTTTTAGAATGTACTGATTTGGATTACATAAAATGATGACTTAAAATCAGCACAAATCTATGAATTTTAAAACTTAATTTAAATGGAAACAGTTAAAACGAAATAACAAAAATATAGTTTAAACAATGGCATGCTGTGGTAACCAAAATGTATCCATCCATCAATTTTTTAATCTTATCCTCATGAGGGTCGCAGGCGTGCTGGAGCCTCTCCCAGCAGACTTCGGGCAGAAGGCGGGGTACACCCTGAACTGGTTGCCAGCCAGTCGCAGGGCACACAGAGACAAACAACCATTCACATAATATAGAGTGCTCCATTAACCTACCATGCACATTTTGGGAATGTGGGAGGAAAAAGAAGTACCCAGAGAAAACTCACACAGGCAGGGGGACAACATGCAAACTCCATATAGGAAGGCCAGGACCCAGAATTGAACCCATGACCTCTGTACTGTGAGGTGGACGTGCTAGCATGTTGACCATTGTGCTACCGAACCAAAATGTATTTAAACACAGTGGTTAGAATTAATTAAATTGCTTTCCGTTTTGGAAGTCAAACATTTTCATGACAATATGTTGTAAGCAGCCACACAAGTCTATACACGATATTCTGATTAATATTACATTTGTGAAATATGAATTTAGCAAAAAGCCATTTTGCCTTGTATTGCCAGTTGCTATTGACTGAAGATGCCACCACAGTGCATCAGGGGTCACCTTGCAAATGTCACATGACCTAACCCAGAAGACATGTGAACCGTTACCTGAGTCATGAAGCATTTTGATGTCATTTTCAGTCAACAACAAGTGGCAGTACAAGGCAAAATGGCAGCTCCTTGAGATGCATAAAAACAGGTGGAAGAAGTCTGTTTGATTTATATTCCACAAACATAATATTGATAACAACACAGTCTTCAGACAATTGTGGATGTGTAGAACATATTTGGTGATTGCAAAGAAAAGCTTGGGCTTGACTTTTCCTTTAGACATACTGGACAAAATACGACCCAAGGACCAAATACAGCCCACCCACAGTTTTTGACAGACCCTCACAGAGAGCATGACCTCAAAGTAAATCGTAAAATAAATGTTGCTTCTATTTTGAAAGTTGTGTTTTTGTTTAATGTGCAAACATGCGGACGCAAGTACAAGAGCTACAACTCTGTGGAGTTGCTAACTTAGATACTTTGTTGCTATATTTTGTGACTTTTCCGACCTCTCTAGCAACTATTTTTCCAAAAAAGAGATGAACAAAAATGACAACAGTGCTCCCACTGTTTCCAACATTTTTATTTAATGCATGATGGAAGGATGAGCGCCAAGATCATTTGTCTGATAATACTGTTGGGAAATAAACAGTTTCATGTACTAAGTAACAACTGTATGTTACCAGCAAATCCCAAGTCACTGTGGAAAAAAAGTCAAGCAAGTCAAGTCACGTTGCCACCAAATTTCAAGCAAGTCGTTAAGTCAAGTCATAAAATTTTGCACAGTAAAACATATGTCGCAGTGGTTCAAAAAATCCGCCTAATCCGACTCGAAAAACTAAATTACCTCTAAAAAGTTAATTTGGTGCTGGGTTTAATGATCGTGATCATTAACCTACCAAAATAAATTAGATGCACGGATGCTATTGGCTATTGTTGTTTCATGTATGAGCTCTATTTTTAAATATGTATGACTAATCGTTGTTTCAAAAGCAGACATAGTTTAACTTTTAACTGCAAAAAACATAAAATCACAGCTTAAAAAAATCTAAAGATGAAGTTAAATATTTGAAAGGCATTGGTTTGACATACCTCAATACAAAAACATTATGTATGTCATTTAAATAGGTCAGGAAGTGTGTGGACTTCTTTCTAAGTATTTTCAATCCATTGGAGAAATTCATATTACATACATCCATTAGTTCTTACGTATTTCAAACATGTTGCATTTACTAATGCTGAATAGATTAGTTTGTCATTATTTGTTCAAACCAATGTTGGATTTATCAGCTATTTTACATCATCTTTCATTTACATTTGACTGGCAAATGTACATACAGTAATCTCTCGTTTATCGCGGGGTTACATTCTAAAAAGAACCCATGATAAGTTAAATCACAGTCATCTTCATTTTATGTATAATTGCTGTATTACATATACAATACAATAATGTATTAAATGAAACTAAAGATCAAATGTTTTTTCAGGCCCAAGCATTTAATAAAAACAAAAATATAAATGTTTTCTTACAAACAGATTGTTTTTAGAAATACTGTACCGAACGTTTCGTCAACATCGTGGGTTTTGTCATGGTAAAAATTTGGCGAGCTGTACAGCGATGAAGCGTGGAGACTGTTGGCATTAGTCACAGTCCCTTAGCCAATCAGGATATAGAACACCATTGCACTGTTAAAAAAAAAAAAAAAAAAAGCAGGAGAAAAAAATCCTACAAACAGTGAAGTTGTGAAAGATGAACCGTGTTATAGTGAGGGATTACTGCACACCACAATAAATATATTGGTCCCTTTCTGTTACATTTAAGTCATTCAAATGAGTGGAAATGTTATAAATGAAATTGAAATACGTACTGTAAATGTTATGAATTTGCCCCAAACATTTCTGAGTATGAAAATACAAATAAAAAATACAAAATACAAAATTATTAAAACGTACCATTCCCACACCTATCCATTAAGCAGTCCATCCATCCATCTATTCTCAACCGCTGATCCGGGGTTGGGGTGCGTGACAAACATCTTTAGCAGGAAAGTCCAGACTTCCCTCTCCCCAGCCACTTCTTCCAGCTCATCCCGGGCGATGCCAAGGTGTTTCCAGGCCAGTCGGGAGACATAATCTCTCCAGCATGTCCTGGGTCATCCCGAGAGCCTGCTCCCAGTGGGACATGCCCAGAATACCTCACCAGGGAGGCGTGAAAGAGGCATCCTAACCAGATACCCGAGCCACCTTATCTGGCTCCTGTGGAGAAAATTTTGCACAGTAAAACATATGTCGCAGTGGTTCAAAAAATCCGCCTAATCCGACTCGAAAAACTAAATTACCTCTAAAAAGTTAATTTGGTGCTGGGTTTAATGATCGTGATCATTAACCTACCAAAATAAATTAGATGCACGGATGCTATTGGCTATTGTTGTTTCATGTATGAGCTCTATTTTTAAATATGTATGACTAATCGTTGTTTCAAAAGCAGACATAGTTTAACTTTTAACTGCAAAAAACATAAAATCACAGCTTAAAAAAATCTAAAGATGAAGTTAAATATTTGAAAGGCATTGGTTTGACATACCTCAATACAAAAACATTATGTATGTCATTTAAATAGGTCAGGAAGTGTGTGGACTTCTTTCTAAGTATTTTCAATCCATTGGAGAAATTCATATTACATACATCCATTAGTTCTTACGTATTTCAAACATGTTGCATTTACTAATGCTGAATAGATTAGTTTGTCATTATTTGTTCAAACCAATGTTGGATTTATCAGCTATTTTACATCATCTTTCATTTACATTTGACTGGCAAATGTACATACAGTAATCTCTCGTTTATCGCGGGGTTACATTCTAAAAAGAACCCATGATAAGTTAAATCACAGTCATCTTCATTTTATGTATAATTGCTGTATTACATATACAATACAATAATGTATTAAATGAAACTAAAGATCAAATGTTTTTTCAGGCCCAAGCATTTAATAAAAACAAAAATATAAATGTTTTCTTACAAACAGATTGTTTTTAGAAATACTGTACCGAACGTTTCGTCAACATCGTGGGTTTTGTCATGGTAAAAATTTGGCGAGCTGTACAGCGATGAAGCGTGGAGACTGTTGGCATTAGTCACAGTCCCTTAGCCAATCAGGATATAGAACACCATTGCACTGTTAAAAAAAAAAAAAAAAAACTGCAGGAAAACAAAATCCTACAAACAGTGAAGTTGTGAAAGATGAACCGTGTTATAGTGAGGGATTACTGCACACCACAATAAATATATTGGTCCCTTTCTGTTACATTTAAGTCATTCAAATGAGTGGAAATGTTATAAATGAAATTGAAATACGTACTGTAAATGTTATGAATT